GTAAACCGGCCGCGCGGATGCCCAGATTGGCGCTAGAAAGACATGCCCGCCTGGGCGATGGATCTGCAAACGCGCGCGATCGCGATCGCGGTGCTGCGACGCGGGCCGCGATAAGGCCCTCGCCGAACCGATCACGAACTCTAGATCTAGCTCTGGAGCCGCGCGCCATCCCCCCCCCGATCGAGAGCTGCTACAGGTGCCCCTTGCCCAAGGTGCCCCCGGCTTTTCACTTGATTTTGGAGTCCCTGGGGCCCTCTGGGCCTCGTGAGGGGTGCTCTGGAAGCCGCGGGGGCCTCCTTGGAAATCCAGGGGGCACCTTGGGCCAGGAGTACTTCTAGCAACACCCGGCCCGACGGCGCCCGAAGGCCCGCGATGGCTTCCCGCCGCTCAGAACTAGCGGGTGCTGCCCCCCCACGGCTCCGCCGCTGGCGCCTCGCAGCCCGCCCCCGGGCTCCACTGGGAGAAGCGGGCCCTGCTGGAGGGCGATACCCCCCCCCCCCGACTGCGCTTCAGACACGCGACGACTGCTGGGCGCCATGGCAGAGACGGGGCCGCCGAGCGGCCAATCGCGGTAAACATCTCAATGACAATCTGGAGGCTCTCAACGCGCGTGCCCCTGTTGTGACTGGCGTGACAGCCAGCGGCGGAGGCCGCGCTCGTCGCGGGGCGGGGCGCGCTGACAACTCGCATAAGTCATGGGGATACAGAGGTGTCGGAGGATCGGGTGACGCAGGGCGCGACCACAAATACATGGAACTCCTGGCCCAGTAGAAATCTGGACCAAACGCCGCCGGCTCCATCCGCCCCGATGCGAGTTCTGTGGAAGGGGCCCAGGTGGGCTGGCCACCGATGGCTGCGCGGACGTGTCTAAGCCTCTGGCCAAGCCTCTTTCGCGAGCAGCGAGTGCCTATCCTTTCTTTCCAAGGAACAGGGAGGGCATCGCGCGCGGCAGCTCACATCGAAAAACATATTTTTCTTAGGCGTCCTCTAGCTGATACAGAATGCCGGGAGACATGCCGCCCTCCGACCAAGAGCAGACAGCCCATGCTGCGACGCCAAGACAGCGCAGGCGTTACTTCAAGGCGGGCCTCCATCCAGCCCGAGGCCTGCGGCGAAACAGCAACGAGGGGGATGGCCAGGCATTCTAGTTCCGAGCCGCCCACTAGCTCCGATCGGAGTCAGACATAAACCCCTTTAGCAAAACGCCCTCTAATGGAAGCTGTCAGGGACACTCCGCGCGGGTACGGCACCACATTCCGAGTGCACCCCACGGGGTAGCTAACCGACGTTCAAAAACAACCCGCTGTATCCAGCGAGACGCACGCAGACTAGCTAAATTGCACACTCGAATGCCAATGTCGAATGAACCAACGCAGATTTCCTCAGTCGACTTGTCTGGGCGGCCTTGAAGGCCCCGGCCCCGACGTCACGCTGTCAGAATCGCACCCTCGATGGAGCAGGCGGTGGCGGGCACCCCGCGGAAAATAAGAGGGATCACATAAGAGACAGGGGTCGAACTTCCTTAGCCCTCCAGCTGCAGGGCGCAGGCACATGAAATCTCTGGCCCGCGCCACCCAACGTGCCCCCCCTCGGGCTTCCGAGCAACCGAGCAGCTGGGCCCCATGCAGAGGTCAAGGCCGCAACGAGGCAGTGCACATCACCATCCGATTGCACATGGTGCTCTTGCGACAGGGTAACATGACAGCACTCGCTCTGAAGTGCCACATCCCAAAGCGAACCCCAGCTGTTGCGGTTCACTATGGTCACAGCCAATGTGCGAGAAACGGACGCATAAGGGCGCGCACATGCAGTGCAGCTCGAACCTGCGACACATCACAATATGTCGAAGCTTGTGCTGCTCTGGCTACATCGGCGAAATATATCGACGGACCTCCTGGGGCGTGGCGAATTCTCGCCACGTTAGCCACCCCTGACGATCCGAGTGCGAAGTCTGAAAAACCACACGTGAGTCCCTCAGCCGCCCCAATGGATCGGGGGAAGCTCTTTAGTGGGATGCTTCTTGGGCCACGCTCAGAGCATAGCATTCGCGAGAATCTGGACTGGCACTCGCAGCAATTGATCCAACACCGCTGGCTGCCGCAACTGCAGGGGCATCAGCCGCTGTGGGCGGCGTGGGTAGCGAGACGAGCCCCCGCCAGTATCTCCGCTCCACCAATGCGCGTATATCTTTCGCGGGGGACGAAGGACGTGTGCCGGTTGCGCTCGCCAATCCGAAAAAATGTTTCGCCATCATCTGATGCCGCTTTGGAAGAGGGGCCTACGCTTGGAGAGAGCGCCCTGGTCCTTCTAAGATCGATCCATCCTCTCGAAGTCACCAAAAATAAAGCCATGAGGGTCTTTGTTGAAACCGTTACGACGGCAGCCTTCTTCTCGGAGGGCCCAGGAGCCAACGCGATCTGCAACACCATCTCCATGTAAGTCGCGCCAACCTCCGACATCTCGCCATGCAAGCTATCAACGACAAACTGCAACGTGACGATCTGCGTGTAACACTTGTCGAGAAGATTTCTGCCTCGAGCCGCTCTCTCCTTAAAAAACTTAATGTTGCTGTGGATCTGACTCGCAATGAACAACTTGATGTCAAACGTTGGTTGTCGGGAAATGGTATCCAGTATTTGCGTAAATCCGCAGGCAGGAAAAACTAGGGCCAATTCGTGCCAAGTATATACTACAGGTCGGCGAAGCTGGAGAGACGCGCAAACGCCTCTGACTCTCGCAGGCCAGCTCGCAGAGCGCACTGCCGCCCAGGAGGCTGGCGTGCCCTCTCGAGTCCCTTTCGGCTCATGGGGCCCTCTGGGAGCCTACTTGGACTCTTCGGGCCTCAGGGCCCTGGGCCCCAGACGCTGGAACCCGCCTAGAGTCCTAGGAGCCCAGAGCCCGGGACCGAAGCCCCTAAAGGCTTGGAGCCCGGAGCCCCCCCCCCCACCCCACCCAGGAGCTCGCGAGCTAGACGGCCGCCACAGGGCCCTCTCTCTCAGCGCTCACCGATCCTCCCCGGATCACTCTCCCCCAAGACCTCCAGGCTCCTGCAGTCTCTGGGGCGCCAAGCGCCCACCCTGGGAGGCCACGGGGGCAGACGCGTGCGAAGTGAAGAAAAATACAGAATAGTACAAGGTAATGCGCGTGATCCCTGGGGACCCTGGACGCGCGTTATTTTGCACTGAATCTGACCATTCGACGCATCTGATGTGCGATTGTCTTGTTTTGAAATGCATTCGAGCCGTCGCGCGACAGAGGATGCAAAGTGCAGACCAAAAAATCAAAAGAAACCGCGCGATCTTTGAGGAGCACCGGGGTGAGCCAACTCACGCTCGCGCGATCGCTGGGGCGCTCGGAGGCAAGCCTCATTCCTCGTCCTCCTCCTCCTCGTCCTCCTCTCCCTCCTCTCTCCCGCCGTAATCCCCCCCTCGCCCTTCCTCACCCTCCCCAGCGAGGACGCAGGACCACCCGGGGAGGACCCGTATGGCAGGTCCTGAGGGGGCGGGCCCTTCTATCGGAGGACCCCTGTGAGCGGACCCCGTGGGAGGACCCCTATGGCAGCCCCTGGTGGTTCACCGAGACGCGAGACACACTGTACTCTTAGGACATGTCTGCATGGCAGCGTGGCACGCGTCGGGGCCTTTTGCAACGGTGCACCGACAATCTGCTTGGCAACGAGGCGCGTGACGGGACCCTGGTGGCCGGACCCCGATAGGTAAACCGTTATGGGCGGACCCCTATGGGCGAACCACTCTGGGCTTCGCAGAACAGGTATGTATCGAATGGGCTTTGTGCAGAAGCGCTCGCACAGTAAAAGTAGGTTACACAAAGAACAAAACAACCCAACACGAACAATGTATCAACAGTTTTAGGTTTAACAAGAACTAATACACGCCAACACATACAAACGAGATACACGTAACACACAGAGGCAATACATGATCAATACAACAAATCAAACTAATGAGAAACACGGCACTCGCAATTGTCCCGTAGGTTTGGTAAGCACATATAAACTTGAAGCTACATGTTCAATCGTATTCGCACTCCGAGTGTCAATCCTTCTCAATCCTGTGCAGTGACAGCCCATTGTAAGATCTGACTCGCCAGGGTCTGCAATGACGCAGGGGCGGGCCTCTGGCGTCACAAGGCTCTCGACCACAATGCCGTCACGAGCGGCCGTGTGACACTTTGCCATACCCGGGCTGCCCTGCTTGGCCGCGATGGCTGCCATCTGCTCCAGCTCGGAAGCGTCGGGGCCGCAGGTCAGAAAGGAGAACGGCGAAGACACACGGTGCCCACCGTCTCCCGCACTAACACACTGAGGGCTGGGAAGAAGAAGGGCAAGCAGCACACCACTGCCAGAGGACCTCCGGACCGCAGCTAGGCTCGGCACTGGCCTCCGAAGGGTACGCGCCTGACGAATGGCCACTGCAGCGACTCCAATAGATCCAATGACTCCGACTCTTTGCGCCCGGCAACGCCCGCTCTTCCAGCTCCCGGTGGAAAGCCTCTTGGGAGGCTTGCGAGAGAACCACGGGCCGCGATACGGCGCCATACGTCGTCGCGACACGCGGTCCATGGTCGGTGGTGCAGCGCCGCCCTGGGATCCCCACTGCCAAAGCACAGAGGGGAAGCAGGAGGAGGAGGAGGAGGAGGAGGAGGAGGACGGGGAGGAGGAGGAGGAGGAGGAGGAGGAGGAAGAAGACAGCGTAGGACCAGAAATGTAAAAACGCATTCACCTAAATTTTCTTTTCTGTGGCCCGCGCGGAATTCTTGGGTCGGTGCTGGGCCCCCCTCTACTGGCGCGCTTCGCGGGCCAGGGGCGCCGCCGGAGGCGCCGCAAGGAGATGTCAGGCGCCGAAGCAAGAAACCTGGGCGGACCTCCGAAAATGTATGCTTTATGTTTTCTTGTTCTGTCCTTCTGCGAAGGACGGAGAAGTTGGACTCCGCCGCGGAAGCGAGAGCAGCGCCCGAGATGGGTGGCGGAGTGGAGGGGCCTTCGCGCCCTCGGCATTGGCCCACTCCACCTGAAGCTGCTGGCCAGAAGGCTCGCCATCGCGTGTGTGCGCAACGCTCGCATGATACATGCGCTGTGACACAAACATCAGCAGACTGCGCACGCTTCAGTATACTGCATGCACTGATGCACGTGAGTATATCGCCACTGCGCTTGCAGCGGCTGGCGTGTGTGTTTGTGTGTGTGTGCGTGTGTGTGTGTGTGTGTGCGTGTGTGTGTGTGTGCGTGTGTGTGTGTGGTGGGTCTCGGTGTGTTCCGTCAAGCTCGCTTCTTGCGAAACACAGTGGGTCTCCCGGGCGCATCAAGCCTTTCAAACAAAAAGATGGTACCCCGACAGATTCGTTCGCGCGGCAGTAAAGGAGGATGTATGCACAAATACCACATGCGTACACGCACGTATGTGGTCATACATATATGCGCGTTCACAGACACGCATGCGCATGCGCATGTACATGAATATGCGTGCGCGTGCACTTGAACACACATGCACAATACGCGCACCAATGGCATGTGCAATTGCGTGTATAATATGTGTGCAGGTGCATGCATACACCTGTACACGTATACGATTCCAAATGGAAGCTAACGTGCAGACGTATCCACACATATAAGCTACAACACGAATGTTCTAGAACCGCGCGCTCGTTTCCCACGCTCTTTGTCTTAACACGAATGTATGAACCCGCGCGTTGCCTGAACATTTGTTGAAAACTAAACAAACAACGGGCCGAATATATAAGGGCACGCCCGTCCAAATTCGGCGCGACACTGGCAATCACACGAAAATAATGCAATGCACTGCCCAGGCAGCGGATCAGAGCAATGTATTGGCATGGAATGCGGGTGATATGGCAAAGCGACGGACTGCAACAAAACGAAAAACATTGTAACGCGGTTCACCCCCCGCGTCTCCCCGACGGCCCCCGCTGCCCGCCGGCTTCTCGTCTTTCAGGATGGCAGCCTCGGGGTCCAGCTCTCGCCGGCGGGGTACGTCGTTGGGGTCGTCGTCTTCGTCGTCGCCCTCGTCGTCGTCGTCGTCGCCACCTTCGTCGTCGTCGTCCTTGAGCTTTCGGACATGCGCCAACACCAAAATTTCCTACGATACTCCCCAAACAGTGGTTGCTCTTAGAAGTGCTTACTTCGCTTCTGAGCTGCTGTCAGTCCAGCCGGCTTGTGGCCGCCCGTCGCCGCCAGCCATCGCCGCCATAACTGGGCCTGGGTGCTGGTCCGTGGCTTGCGGCCGCTCGTCGTCGCCAGTCGGCGCCGTCTGTCGCCGCCACTTGCACAGGGCCCCGGTGTCGGTCTGGCCAGCGTGTGGCCGCCCGTCGCCGCCGGCCAGCTCGTCGCCGTCCGTCGACGCCTTGCTTTGCATCGTTTTGCATCGCATTGCACGGCTTTGCATTGTTACGCATCGCTTCACATCCCTGTGCAGTGTCTTACATTACATTGCTTTGCGCTACTTCACATTACTTTGCATTGCTTTGCATTGTGTTGCTTTGCGTTGCACTGAATCGCACTGCATCGCGCTGCATTGCTTGCATTACTATGCATTGCTTGCGTTGCAGTGCATTGCTTTGCAGTGCTTTACATTGATTAGCATTGCTTCGCACTGCTTCGTGTTGCCCTGCGCTGCGTTGCAATACTCGCGTTGAATTGTATTGCATGGCATCGGCTTGCATTGTCTTGTGCTATCACATTGCATGGTTTTGCATTACCTCGCATTGCTGTGCTTGCTTTGTATTGCGTTGCATTGCGTTGCCTTGCGTTGCCCTGCAATGCATTGCTTTGCATTACTCTGCGTTGCTTCGCAGTGCTTTGCACCTCAGAGATTACACCGCATGTACTGACCCTTATATATTGCAACACCTACGTTCATAAAGTGCACCACGTAGAATACAAGAAATCGCTGTTTGGGGTCCACGCTGGCCCACATGACGTTTGCAACCCAGGCATTGTTCCTCGATCTCGGCCTATGGGGCCCAATGATGGGGCCTGGGGCCATCAAACACGGACCTGGGACAGAAGCAATACGCGAGGGAAGGGGCCGGGACCTCTGCAGCCACGCATTCAAAAAGCAGATCGTGGGAAGTCTGGGCTCGCCTCCCAGAGCCTCCGCGCACCTCGGAAGCCATACTAAATGCAAACAAGGAAGGAATCGAATAGGACAGGGCTGTTTCGCAAACGCCTAGAGCCGATTCGCAAACGCCAGTTATCGGGGTCGCGGTGGTTTTTTCTCCCTGGACATAAAGCTGTCATTGCTGAGATTCCCCACCACACCCCCTGCAGGGATCGGGAGAGGCAGCGGGGGTGTGGAAAGGGGGGGGCGGCAGGTGGCGAAGACGGAGGGCGAGGGGGCAATTCGGGAGGGGTAGGCCTCGTGGACGTCATCCACCTGGGGATCACTTCATTGGGAGTCGCTGCATCTCGGGCTCTATTTGATCGGATCTTGCACCGTGTCGTTCTCTGCGCTCTGGACAGCTGAATCTTTAAACATTGCGTGCGCGGCACGCTCGGGCGAAGGCCCCAGGCCACAAAGAAGCCACGCGAGGGAAATTAAAAGATGGCACGTCTCCGCGCTTAGAGTAGAGTGGTCCAGGCATGGTTCAGTGCCGTTCCCGGACAAGCGTTCGGACGCCATCCATCCGTCTAACCTTGCCAGACCAGTCCTGGGCCCGCAACTGGTGAAACCGCTCTACTCGCGAGGCCAAGACGGCGAATGAACATACCCCGACATCAGAATCTTATCCATACACGGGGACCAGTAGCTCTCGAGCCCATATTTCGCAGGTGTCTCGCGCCCTGCGATGTGTCTTCCAGGTCCCAGGCCAGGCATGGAAAACGGGCCTCCAGAGGCCTACAATATTCATAATTTCGCAATCAAATAAAGATGGTCTGATTAGAGGGGGTCTGATTTAAGCTGTCTTGGTGGGTTCCAGTGGGGTCTGGGCAAAAGGCCGCCCTCTCATGGCTGGTCTGGGGGAGTCTAAGACTGGTCGTCTGGGAGGGTTGTGGCCCCGCCCCTTTCATTACGAAATTAGGAGTAAACAGAAACAGCTGCACGCCCTGCCGATCCTGGACCCGCCGCTGGACTGGTCAGGGCCGGTGCGGGTGGACGGATGCCTGGCATCTTCCGGTACGTCGACAAAAATGTAGAACCCCTTCAGGTTCGACTCCGTGTTCGCCGCCACATCCTCCACCCAGATTCAAAATTGGGTCGGGCCTTGCGGAGGCCCTGGGGGGTCCACTTTGTCCTTTCACGACGCCTGTGCTGCCGAATGCCCGGGACCAACTTTAAATCTGCGGGAAAGGGGGGGGGGGGGTCAAAATCAAGGGTTCTATCTTTTTGTCCATATCTACGTTCCCCCCCCCGGGCCACCCGTCGGCCCCCGCGCGCATGGCGCTCACGCGCCCTTGTGGAACACGGTGATGAGCACGCGTGGGCAGCCGCGCCTGGGCGGGGAAGAAGACGGCAGGGGGGCGGTGGCAAGGAGGGGCGCCGGGGCTCAGTGCGGAATGCCGCCGGGCCCCGTGGTTTAGCGAGTCCGTTCTCCAGGCATCCCTCCTGCCCCCTCGGGGAGAAGTCTGCCCCTCCGCCATGCCCCGTCTCCGTGGGTCGGGAACCCTCTCCCCCTTACCCCGCCTCCCTGGTCCTGGGCAGATGGAACAAAAGGCAAGGGCAGAATTTGGAGGGGGAGTGGGGGGTGGGGCGGTGGGCAACCATCGCCCACCGCCCAAAGCTTCACTAACAAATCAAAAAAAATCAGCCCTAAGGTGTTGCCTCGTGGTCGTGAGTCATGAGCCGAACACACAATGCGATACCCGAGTGGTACCAGTGATTCAACTTGAACAGTTGGTGCTGCGCGTGAGAGGCTCACGGACCGCGGGTGGAGGGAAAGGGAAAAGAAGAGGAACTGATGTGGAACACGAGGCGGCACCAAAAAATGAATGGGGCACGGGGGCTAGCAAGATAACGGGAAGTCCCAGGAGGAACGGGGAGAGAGAGATAGGGCACATAGGGCAACAAGAGGGGGAAGCGGTCACAAACGACGCACATATCCGTATCCGCGCTCGTGGTCTGCATTGCGGGGCGCGACCCCGCGGATACGCGGTCGCACGGATCCGTTCCGCGCGGGGCATCCTCGAACAAACGCCGAATATCCGCGGGGTCGGGGCCCAGGGGCCCAAGGGCCCGGCCCGCAAGGCCGCGGATACGGATGCGTGTTTCGCCCGCGAGTGGGAGGCGAGGAATTTTGCGGCAAGCCAAATGCGCTCGCGCCGCAGCATCTTTCTCCTTCTACCCATCCCGTCCCATGCCGTCGATGTTTGTCTCTGCCCGCCTACAGGTGCCTTGGGCGGACCTGCGTCCCCCGAAATTCCTAGTCGCGCAATGCTCGACCCACATGCATTGGAGGAGGGAGGGGGTAGCGGAAGAGAAGGTTTGATGAAATGACAGCACAAGGCGCGAAAACAACGCAAGTTCACCCTCCTCCACGTCCTTCTGGCCCTGTCAATCGGAGCGCCGCGCTTCCGTCTCCTGCGCCAGAGTGCGAGAAGCTGGCACGCGAGAGGCCACGCTGGCCCGCGCCCGACCTACGCGCGCCGTGGCGGGCCGCGCAGAAACGCGGCGCGAACCGTCGGGGGGGCCATTTTCGCGCCCGCGGGCCGCCGAGGACGGAGCGATACCGGCCAGGGACGTCTGGTGAGGATGGCCGCCCCAACTCACTTAAGAAGGGGAACGCCCAGACAGCGATCTTACCGCGAGCCGCGGCGTCGGGAAATGGCGATCTCTCGCGCGCCGCCCCGCGCGTGAGCAACGAGCGGCATGCAACAGATCATGCGCGGGGCGGCCAACGCAGAGTCCCCCCCCGCACCAAGCGCTCTGCGCGCGCGGAAGTTGCGATCGCGCAGCTGCATCAGCGCGGCCAAGTGAAGGCACCGAGGCCCGCCCGCCGCGGCTGAGAGCACGGTTCGGCACCTCGCAGGCGCAGGAGATGCAGGGCCAGAGAGTTTGAAGCCAGCAACCTCCTTCGGCGGCCTGCTCTACCGATGGGCGCCCAACGGCTTCGCGATTCGCAAAAGTGTTCGCGATGCCTTTCGCATTGCGTTTCAGCCGAGTCGCCTTTCCCCGCCCAGCAGTGGGCTTTGGTCCGGTGAACAGCTGACCAATTCTCAAACGCCGCATGAAACTGGGCCCACGCGCGGACCAATGGGGGGGCCTAGAAGAAGCGGATCGCACACGAGACTGCGCCAACGCGAACGCGGCGGCGCAGTCGATCCAGAACCCCTGTCGAAGCTCAAGCGCGAGACGACCAACCAACAAAAACGCGTAGTCCTCGCCATCTTTGGCGAGCCGGGGCGGGGCGAAATCCCGCGGGGCGGGGCCGGCGGCCCCAGCGAACGTTGGCCCGGCGTCGCCCGCCATCGCGATGGGCCACCCCGCCCCGCAAAGGAGTGGATCCGAGGGCCGCGGCGCCAAGCCCGTCCGCGCGCGGCTTCCCAGCTATAATGTCACCCCGCGGACGTCGGACTCAACAAATTTCGCGCTGGCCGGGCGAGAGAGGCGGGGGGGTCAACTCCCTGAGGAAGGGGGGGCGCGTCAGTGGCGGTGGCGGAGAACTCCCCGGGGCCCCCCCTCGACCGAGCGAGCTCGGCGGCGGCTCTAGCCCCGTCCAAAAGGCGACGCAGGCGGTTCGTTGCCCGGGCGCCGCGCTCAATCCAGCGAGGAGATAACAGCCCCCCCGCTGCAGAGCCCGCGCAGGTTACGCTCGGCGGCCATGGGCCCCGAGACCGCCGCGCGAAATTCACCCATGCGGGGCCGTGCCCAAGCCGCCCTGCGCCGCGCCGGGCGACAATCCGCGGGCCCCCAAAACGCGGGGCGGCGCCGCGCCGCGGGCCCGACGCGAGATCCCAGGGCGCGATATTCTGATACGTCCCCAGCAGCATCCCTGGCAAGAGCAGCAGCGACAAACGGCCACGGGCGGCGCGGATCGACCGCTAGCCGCTGGCCATGACAATGACTCGTCGGCAATGAGACGCGCCGGCGGCGCCGCCAAGCCGAAGCCCCCGCGATCCAAGACGAACGCGTGGGCAGAGGGCGCTGCGTGCCTCCAGGGGCGACTCGCGATGGCCAGCTATCCGACGGCGCCCTCGCACGCGGACGGCAGAATTGAAATTTCTGAACTCCATTTCAGACCACCAGAGCTCGCGCAAATACGACTTGTTTAGATGTGCAAAGGGAGGGGGCCATCCTTCCAGCAAGCGACTTCTTGATCGGGGCCAGGGCCAGCGGGGGCCGGGCTAAAGCGAGGGCCCGTTCCAACTGCGACCGCGGCAAGCCTCGGGCTGCAGCTCCCCGGAGCACGCGCCTGAGAACGCGCCATCTGGACGCTGCCACGGGCGCGCCATCCTGGCGGGAGGGCCGCGGACCAGCCGACATGCCGATGCGCGGGGGAAGCCCCATCGAAAGCCACTGGCGGCATCCTACTCGAGCTCGGCTGCAAGTCTGCGACTGAGGATCCGATGGCGGCTTCCAGCTCGAACGCGCGTTTCCAGGGGGGCCAAGCAAACCTTCCACCGCAAGCCTGGGCGAAGCACTTCCGCGCGCGCCGGCTCCCCGACGGCGCAAGACGCAGAGGCGCTGCAGGCCGGCGGCGGGCATGCCCCCGACGCCGCCGAGCCACCTGCCGAAGCGGAGGCCGGCGCTGGCGACCTGCGCGCTGACGTCGAGGACCACGCGGCGCAGCGCCGCAACAGAGCGCTGGCCCGCGACCGCGATGGGCAACCAGAACAACAACGCCCGACGCAAGGATGTCGCCGGCGAGCAGCTGGCCAGGGCCGCCCCCGCGGCCGCGAACGCGTCGGAGGCGCGCCCGAACGGGGGGCCAGTTCAGAGCGCGCCCACTCCTCGAACACCACTTAGCGGCGCGCCATCTCGAGAGGCTTGCCCGGGCCCGCGGCCGGCGTCGACAACTGCGCGCCCGCGCAGCGCGCCATGGCGAGGTGAGCCAAGCGAGCTCGGTCGAACCATCGATCGCGAGTGCCCCAGCACGCAGATCAGCTACGCTGGGGCCGCCCAACGACTCGGCCACGCGCAGGGCGGGGCGCGCGCGGGCAGCGGGCCTGGCGCCATGACCATGTGGCCTTGCAAGAAACGCAACAATTGTCGGCGACCCTGGCGACGACGCTGGCGCCGCTTGCAGCATCGCCATCATCGCGCCAATGGGCCTCTGAAGCAATTCGTCGCCCAACGCGCCGAGCGAGCGCGGGTCGGCGCCGTCGATCCCGAGCCCCGCCCGATGACCATGCAGGATCTGCGCGCCTGCCTGGCGCGATCGATTGCCCGGCGCCCGAGCGCCGCCCGATCGGCCGCCGCGCGCATCATCTGCGCGACGCCCTCCATGGCGCCGCCCCAGCACTGGACCCGCTCGCCCTCCATCGCGCGCGCTGCGAGGTCGCCCTGCAAGGCCGAACCCTCTGGCAAGCGCGTCCCCGCGCCACTCCATCCACTCGCGCGTCGCCCCCTTGGCCGACGCAGAACTCTGGGCGTCTGGAATCTGCGTCTCCATGCGCGGCGACAGCGCGCGTCGCGGGGTCGTCGGGGCCGAGGCCGTCCGCGCCGCTTCGCTTCTACAAGTCGCGCCGCCTAGGGCAGCGACTGCTGCGCGAGCCTGCCGCCGCGCCCGTCGACGCCATGCCCAGACGCCGCGCCGCCGCCGACCGCGCCGCCCGCCGCGCCCCCGAGCCCCTCTCAAACAATCTAGAACCCCCCCCCGGCCCCGAGGGCAGCCCCGGGCTGATGGCGCGCGCGGTGAAGGCGTTGTTTTCAGGCGCGGGGCCGCCTGCCGCGCCGGGCCCCCCCTCGCCGCGCGCGCGCGCCACGGCAAAACATCGATGAGCAGCGCGCAGCCCAACCCGCCCAATGTCGCCGCATCGCGCCCCGCCGCCGCTTCGCCGCCCGCGGCCCGCGGGGCCCATCGGACGCGGGCGCGGGCCGAGGCGGCGCGCTGCTAGTCGCGCGGCGTGAAGCCTGCGCTGCAGGGACAGGCCGCCCGACATCGAGCTACCGGCTCCTGGAATCTGCCCGAGACTGCGACCGGGGGCCGCCGGGCGCGCGCGGCCTCGCCGCGGCCAGAGAGCGCCGCCCGGCGCGTGGACTCCGCCATCAGCACCTCGCGCCCAGGAAAGCCGCCCGCCGCGTCGACGAAGCCCTTCGCCCCGCCTCCCGCGCCGCCAAACTGCGCGCGGAGCCCCCGCTCCGCGCCGGCGAAGGCCCCGCGCAAGGCGCGCGCGTTACTGGCGAAGTTGGAACGGGGTCAACCGGCGCGGCGTTCAGAAGCTCCGCCCGCGCGCGCATCTGGAGATCTGACGGCCCCGGGCTGAAGTCGCCAGCCATGGCCCAGGGCGCGCGGCCCCGGTGGAAGAACGCCCCCCAATGCTCGACCACCTCCCAGGGGAGCACCTTGGAAGACTCTCACATTACCGAGCAGAGATGATGCAGACATCGCGCTGGCTCGGATGATCTTCGATCCGTAGAGTAGAAGTGCCCCTGCGAACCGGGGGGCTTGCCCGGGCCCCCACCGGCGAGAGAGACATGGGGGCCGACGGCGGCCATCGCGCCAGCAGAGGACTCGCTGCTGGCTTCGCCCTCGCTGCGAGCTCTGCCCTGGCAACCGCAGCCGCGCATCCAACCCGCCGCGCTCCGAAATGTCTGACGGTCCTTCGTCCGAGCCCCCTGGCCGAACAGCGCATGCGGACGCGCCTCGGGCCCCCAGCCCCTGTGCCAGTCCTGGAGCGAATGCCAAGGTTCCCAGCTGTCGGCACTCACCGACCAGACCTTGCACTTCGGGTCCCCAGGTTTAGCCGAAGCCGCCGAGGATTCTTGGAGGCAAAACCGAGAGCGAGGGCTGTCCCTGCCAATTAACCTAGGGCGTCGGCCTGCCGCCGTGGCTCGGCAAAGCTGACAGCCTCGGCTGCCTGGCTGAAGGCCTCGGTTCGGGCGTCGTAGTCCTCGCCGCTGATTGCAACCATGTCGGCGCCGTCGTCCGCGTCGCCATCGGCGGCGGGCACAGCTGCCACATTGCGCGCAGCAGCCGGGGCCCCCGCAGCAGCAGTCGCGCCGAAACGCGTCTCGAAGAGCGCCCTTAGAAAAAAACTGCCACCAAGGCGAAAAGAGGAAGGACTGGAGGCCCTCGTCCTGCACCCCTTCGAGCTTGACCTCCTGGGACGGTGCTGGAGAAGCCTGCGCAGCGGCGGCAGCTCCGCGGCCTCCCCCGTGAGAAACGAGGCCGGCCGTGTGATAGAGACCCGCCTCCGTGGCCACCAGCTCTTGAACCTTCACCCCCACGGCCGGCTGGTGCGCCGTGATCTCTTCCTGAAGCTTGACGACCTGCTCCTGCTTCGCCGAAGATTCCGCCTCTAACGTGACTTGTGGGACTGAACATTACGGGGTCTCTGCTGGCAGCGGTAGTGTGCGACCGGAAGGCTGCCAAGCGACGGCTACGGTAACTCCTTGATATCCGCAGCCTTCTTCCTTATAGCTGCACGAATGGGGTCCTCGCCACCAGACCAGGCAATGCTTTGAGGACCGGCTCGTGCTGCACCGGCTGCTCGGACAGTTTGGAACGCTTCGTTTTTGTAGCGTCGTTGACTTCCAATGGCCAAGGCCATAACCTCCGCACCTGCCTTGGGCACAAGGGCCCATGGCGGCGGCGCCTCCCACCCGATTTGGCGGGAGGCTTGTCCTTGTCCTTGAGCAGCTTCTCAACAGCGGCCAACCTTTTTGATCGTGCCGCCCAGTGCCGCGGCCTTCGGAGGCGGAGGCGAGCGGCCAGGCCGCAACGCCTCGCGTGCGCCACAGTTGCCGCCATCCTGGCCCAAAGGGTCGCTTCGTTGCCGCACTGGCAACGTACCCTGGGTCCCTGGGTGCCCAGTTCGCCGTGGCTGGGCACTAGCTGCCACAGCAAGCGCCTGCTCTGTTTGAGCGCGCAAACCCCGCACAGACCAGATTTGTGATGTTGCTCGTTTCCCAACCGGGTTTCCATTTTCAGCTTGGTTTGTAAACAAAGCCCACTCCACCACGTAGCTGGCCGATAGTGACCAGATGTCGGGTTTTTCCCGTGCCGCGGAGCAGCGCAGGTAGCAGAGGAGGCGGCGCCGTCGCTGGTGACAGGCCGCGCTGCCCCTAGAGGAAGCGGGAAACGGGGCTCGGACTGCCGCGGGACCAGCGCCAGGATCGGGGCCCACTGGAATCTTAGGGTTTGGGCGCAGATCAGCGGTATGGTTGACATCGTGAGCCACAACGGTTACGGAGAGTGTGTGGCGGATGAGCAGGCGGATGGCTAGAACGATGAAGATGGTGAGGAAGAAGGGAAACAAGAAGGAACAGCGGCACGAGGAGGAACAACGGGGAGGGGGAGGGAATGGGCAGGACGACGACGAGGAAACACTCGACTCCAGAAATGCGGCCCGAGGCGAGAGCGCCATTTTGAACGACGGGAGCAAAGCGCCGGTGATGAAATGAAGCCAACGCTGCAGCGGGAGCACCGCGCTGAAACACCCAAATTCTTGCAACCATGCGTAGAAAGAAACGGTATACACAGAGTGGGTGGGATACTTTCAGGACGCAGTCGGGGGAAAGAGGAATGAAGTGTTTGTAACGAACAGCTATTGAAGAACTGTTGCTTGGCGTGTCGCGGCGGCAGCCCCAGCTACACGCGATGCGTTGCGAATGGATGGCGTGTTGCTCCGCTCCGCGGGACGGGAGGCTGATAGCAGCTCGGAACGCCTGGAAATTGCGAAATGGTTAGCGTGCAGCACCCAAGTGTGGTAAGCCATAATCGGCGGCGCGACATGCTAAGCCCAAATTCTTGACCGTACGACGAGGAGCGCGTGGGGGAGAAGGAAAACGGCGGCGGATGACGAATGACGATGAGCAGCCGCACCCCGAGCCCTCCATCTCTGGGTACGACGTCTCGATCTTCTTTATGTAGCCCAACCCCTGGCCAGGAGCCACAAGCTTACGCCAAAATGTATCTGCCGACCTGCCCAGAGAGGGGGGTGGTCAGGAGGGGAATGAGGCGGAGGATGTAGGAGTGGCAAGAGAGGGGGAGGACGGAACATGTATACAGTAAGTGAGGGAGGGTAGATGACAAGGAAGAGGAGGATGAGGAGGAGGAGAAGAAGGAGGAGAGTTCAAAATAAAGCCCTATCCCGCAGAAGAGGATCGGGAAAAATACTCACTAGGCCATCGAGCCCAAACATCGTCGAGCGTTCAGCCGGAGATGCCGCCGCTCGGTTTCAGGTGCCCGGCGAGCTTACCAAGCCGGTGCTTGCACTCGATGTGCTGGTCGAGCAGGTTCGGGTGCGGCTCACGGCGATCCAGATGCTGTGGTGGACGCACTACCCAGTCCAATAGCTCCCCGCTGAGGCCAACAGGGCCGCGCGAAACACACCTCTTGAGCACGACCACGCACTGACGCATGCTAGAATGAGAAAATGTGTTTTGCAGCTGGTGTCCGTGCAAGACACAGAAAAGTCGAGCCAACAAATGGCCCAGGAAGCCGTGCACTGCACCACGGCCGCCCCTGTCGCGGCCGCACGGATAAGCGGCACCGCAGGGTGAGGAGGGCGGGCGATATAGTAGCCAGATCGCTCTAACCAGGTTCTCAGATGGAGGCCAGCACGTCTATCCCACGCAACACCCACATGTGCCTGTGTACTGAGATAATATATTGTGCCGGCGGTGTGGGTCTTGAGGGAGGGAGAGGACGGATGATCCGCCACCGTGCTCCCTGCCACATTGAGGCGTGGTTGAATGCCAAGTACTGCCTGGTAAGGTTTCTGTGGTCTAGGGCCCTCCAAAGCGATCAAAGGTTTCGAAGACTGCCGAGGAAAGACACCGAAACCACCAAAATGGCCAGAGACAGCAGGCATCCCCGAATAAACACTCACTAGGTCCCATGAAGCATCCAAAAGGCCTCAATACGGCATGTACACCCCCAGAGGCGATTTCCGCAAAAACGCAAACACAACAGCCGCGCCGAGGAAACGTTGCACAAATGCGCCACTGGCAGATCAACGCGTCCTGATTACGCGTCGGAGACCACCTTGCTGGCTGGGCGCGGCTAGGTCACTACAATGTGGGCGGCGGTCTGCTCCACGAGCTGTTGCGCCACCTCCGCCAGATGAACCATACAAGCCTCAGGGCCCGAGGCATCAAGAAAAGGCAGCACCCACGTGCGGACGAAGATGTACCTCCCGCCGCTCCACTATCGCCTGGGCGCTCACCCATGCCACAGCAAAGCTCTGTAGAACATGTTCTGGCCTGATGGGAAGGGCGCAACAACGTCCAACATGTCCAGGCTCGGCATCAATCCATGCCGCGACCGTGGTGCAATCATGGCCCAACCGCTACTGAATCGCAGCGCTTTTGATCCCAGGGAGGTGAGCGCGCTGTCGTCTAAGTCAGGTGCGACATTTAACACTCTACGTTGCCGAAGGCGTCAACTCAGCTGCGGACGAGGCTGGTTCGAAATGAGACTGGCGACGAAGGCACCACAACTGATCGGCAACATACAGCCAGCATGCCCCCCAAGCGATTCTTCACAACAATCATCCACAGAGCAGTTTAAACCGCTGAGGCAAGCTGGTCATTTATCCATAGTAAGTCGCCCGTACATGAAAAGACACCTGGGCCCGCACATGACTCGGCACGGACTGCAACAACATTAGGAGGACTCACCCAGCTCGTACGCAGTGGCCTGGGAGACGTGTGTAGGATCGCCAGAAGAACGGGTGGACTACAGCGGGCTCCGCCGCAACCCTGACTCAAACACACGAATGCTTGAGCCAACATTGGCTACAGCACGGAGGGGAGGAGGCGACAGGGACGAGGAGGCGTGAGAAGGAGAGACGAGCGAGGAGGCGTGAGGAGGAGCGAGGAGCGGGGAGGCGGGAGCGAGGAGCGAGAAGCAAGGAGGAGCGTGACATGAGGAGGAGCGAGCAGCAAGGGAAATGGGGAGGAGCGAGGAGGCGTGAGGAGGAGCGAGGGGCGAGGAGGGATGGGGGATGAGGAACGAGGAGGGCGGAGGGAGGAAGGGAGGAGGGAAGGTAGGGAAGAGGGGACAGCGAAGGAGGAGAGATTGGAAAAAAGGGGAGGACAGTCGGCGGCGAAGGCGCCAGGGTTTCTCAGAAGCCCTCTGGCCTTCTGGGAGGTCTTCTCTGCGTCTTCGGGAAAGGCTTAGAAAGCTTCTCAGAAGGCCATGGGACTTCCGAGCCTTCTGAGAAGGCCCGCCCCCTCTCGCTTCCCCGCCAGGCTGGCCGCAGAGTCAGGGCCTGACAGCAACAAAACTCCCCCCGTGCGCCCAAGCGGGCCTTGCTCTCCACCGCCGCCGCGGCGGAACAGGCGGCGCTGACGGCGTCACCGAGCCCGGAGATGTTGAGGACGCAGACCGGCTCCTTCGCCTCCTTGCCATCCTTGGCCTCCACCCCGGCGAGGAAGCTGGTAGCGGCACGGATATAGAAGCCCGCGCTCTTGTTCGTAGTGACCTTCATGTCCACCACCCCTGGCGTGGACGTCGCCTCACCCGCATTCGCGACCTCCTCCTCCCCGCTGGGCGCCATGGCTGCGGCCTCGCACAGGCTCGTGGATCAGCAGATGCAGACTAGTTGCCGGCTTGAGCCACCCCTCCTGGGACCCCGCCTCTACGCGCTCCCCCCTCCTCGTAGCGAAACTCACCCCAACTGGACACGGAGCCCTCAATCAACCCAAGGTGCCCCCAAAAGGACCCTTAGAGACCTTCCAAAAATGAGTTCGACACTCTCCCCCGAATGGGCTGGCAGGAACACGCGACGCGCAAAAGTCGATCTGATCATAGAGCGTGCATGTGATATAATACTGCTGCGACTTCGATGGCTCGTTGGGATCGTGCCGAGCCCAATTCCCTAATACTCTCGTCTAACGCCGTCGGACACGTTTCAAAATTTGGCCAAAGGGGAGCGCAATCCGCTTGCATACGTTCCACCTGTGCACAGCAGGAAGTGTTACATGCTCGACCCTTGGCGGGGAGCCAGAGGTGCAATGGCGATTCGGAATTTCCAACTACAGCCGAAACTGTGACCAAGAAGCATATCATTAAAGTGATCTGGGCCACCAGTCTCGACGTTGTCTGCTGTTGACGCTGGAGGGGCAAACGTACGTCAGAAAAAAACGCCTGCCTCGATGTAAGAGATCGTATATCCCCCCGCGGCGGACCCAGGCAATTTGCGAGTAGTTACTTTGCGAATAGTGAGCGCGCTTGACTAGAAGAAGCCTTCTGAATCAGACGCCAAACTGTATATCCTGCGCACATCTAAATCGTCATCCTGTCACTCGTGCAACAAAAGCAAGACACGAATCGCAATTCTAGGGGCGCCCCAACCCGCGACACACCCCGCGCCCGCCCCCTCACTCATGTTCGCACATGCGGGGTGCTACATAAATCTTGCGCACATATTCGTCGTCATCTCTCCACTTCTGCCACCAACAACACAAGAACGGCCCGAAACTCTAAAGGCGTGCCCGCCTGGCGCACCGACGCCTCCTGTCTCAAACCATATTTTCTGCTGCGGCTGACCGTGTCAGCAGCATGTCCCGCGTTGCAGGTCGTTCGACCGATGGCGCCAGGGAGCCCAACCCCGCAAAATAATGCAAGCGCAATCAGAATCACCTACCGTGTTTCAGACCCCAGCGGGCCCCGCCCGCTGGTCGTCGATGCTGCTCCCCACCCGACAGCTTGGGGTTGTTAGATTTCAAAAACAGACCCCCCGGCCAACCCCACGCATACCGCGGCCGCCAAACACCAAATTGTCCCGAGTCCCCGAGAATCCCTGGGATTCCCGCCTCGCGCCCTCGACAAACACGACTGCATACCGCGGCCGCCAGACACCAAGTTGTCCCGAGAGTCCCCGATAGTCCCTGGGACTCCCGCCTCGCGCCCTCGACAAACACGACTGCATGCCGCGGCCGCCAGACCCTCAGTTGTCCCGAGAGTCCCCGAGTCCCTGGGAGTCCCGCCTCGCGACTTCGACAAACACGAAAAACACAGCAATACACAACATAACATGACAGAACATAACATAGCAATACCATGACAGGCACAGCGTAATACAACAACACGAAGCACATCATGGCATAACATTGCAGAACATAACACGACATAACATACCATGCCATGACATAAATGAACATACCATAACACTCCTTGGCGGAATATGTCATATCATGGCACAGCGTTCAGAGCATATCATAAGACACCAACCGAGCATAGCAACGAGCACGACAGAACACAGCATGCCACACTATAATACATCATAACGAAACACGACCATGACATAACATGACGGAACATCACATGCCAGTACCATTACAACACATACCATGACATAACATCACAGAACATGTCCTATCATATCATAAACGAATAACGCAACATAGTAGACATAGCACGACATAACATAACATACCATGACATAACAATGCGTATCATGAAACATCAGAAAACAATATAGCATCGCATACCAGACATAACATAACATAACATAACATAACACATCATCGAGAGAGCGTGATCCACTGCCGCTTCACTGCGAAAAATGATCCCCCTCTTCCTCCAGAACCCAGGGTTCCCCCCCCTCCGAAAATCCCCCCCCTGCTGGACCCCCCCCCTTCCCCCCAGCAAAGCCCCCCACCGACCCACCGAGGGGGTCACTACTAATTCGACCCCCCCCCTCTGTAAAACCGGGGGGGTCACTACCGGTTCGAACCCCTCCCCCCCCCCCCTGAAAACCAGAAGGGGGTCACTACCGGTTCGAACCCCCCCCCCCCCCTCCAGAAAACCGGGGGAGGTCACTATATACCGGTTCGAACCCCCTCCCAGAAAACCGCCGCGGGGTTCACTACCGGTTCGAACCTCTCCCCCCCACGCTCACCGCCAGCAAACGACTCCCGGTCCCTACCACCGTCCGCACCACATCCCCCACTGCTGTCCCCAGCACCACTGTCCTCACCACCACTGTCCCCACTGTTCCCACCACCGTCCCCACTGTCCCCACCAGTGCCCCCACCACTGTCGCACTGTCCCCACTGTCCCCACCAGTGTTCCAACCACGGTTCCACTCACCCCACTTTCCCCACGGCCCCAACCACTGTCCCACAGTCCCCACTGTCCCACTGTCCCCGCCGCTGTCCCACTGAGCTGTCCCACTGTTCCCACCACTGTCCCCACTGTCCCCACCACTGTTCCCACTGTACCTCTGTCCCATTGTCCCACCGCCGTCCTCGCCACCGCCCTCATCACTGTCCCCACCACCACTGTCCCATTGTTTCCACCACATTCCCACTGTCCCCACACCAGTCCCCACCACCACCGTCCCCTCCACTGTCCCACTGTCCCCACCATTGTCCCCGCTGTCCTCACCAGTGCCCCCACCAGTGTCTCACTGTCCCCACTCTCCCCACCAGTGTCCCACCACGGTCCCACTCTCCCTACTTTTCCCACGGTCCCCACCACTGTCCCACTGTCCCCACTCTACCCACCACTGTCCCACTGTCCCCGCCGCTGTCCCACTGTGCTGTCCCACCGCCCCCACTGTCCCCATCACTGTCCCGCTGTCCCCACTGTCCCCGCCACTTTCCCCACTGCACTACTGTCGCACCACTGTCCCGACCACCGCCTTCACCACTGTCCCCACCACTACGGTCCACACCACTGTCCCACTGTCCCCACCACTATCCCGCTGTCCCCTCGCCACTGTCCCCACCACCACCGTCCCCACCAGTGTCCGCACCACTGTCCCAATCCCCGCACCACTGCCCCCACCACCGCCGTTCCCACCACTGTCCCAGCATCCCCACCATTGTCCGACTGTCCCGAAGAGCTGGAATCGTTTGCCGGCGGCGAGGGGGGGGGTTCGAACCGGTACTTGGATGCCCGCGCTGCTTGGTAAGTAGATCGCGTGATTGCAACATGTTGTAAGTATGTTTCAAGCGACTTTCAACAATGTTGTTCGTAGGTTGCAAGTGTTATGTCTGAGGTGTATGTGTGCTATTCTCATTACCCCAGCGTCTTTTCGGATCGCTCACTTAGCGAACTGCGCGAAGTAGGGGAGGGTATTTAGGCGAGCATTATAAACAGAATACCCTATGTCCGCTAACTTGATTCGGGTACTTAGCCAACCACCCCCCAAGTAGGTTAGCGCGCGGCGTAAGTATACCCCAAACCCAGATAGCTAACCACGGTTAGCTGAGATAGCGAAGTAGGTTTGTTGCATGATATGCTATGGTTTCTGCTATGCAATGCTACATTTTTGGCCACCAACCCGACGGATTCATCATAGAAATGGCTGCGTTTCGATGTAACGGAAGCCACTATCATGATCATTGTTGCCATTCCATAGCCGTTTGAGGTATGATGTTGGGTTTGATTTCGCGTTTCTCAATTGCCGCCACCACCATATTCTTAGGCATGTCGGACCTTAGCGACAGTTTGAAATCGACTTTGACGACCATCGCTGCAGATATCAACAAGACTCTTTCGAACATGGGCGATGTAGAAATTACGAACAAGCAGAAAAAGGCTACAGCGAACGATATTGTGCATCGGCTTCTTTCCAACAACTTAGCATACACTGAAATTGTCAAGCCTGGTTTCCTCGGATGCCATGGAGATAACAGATTCGGGCAAGGCCTGGAAGCCCAAGACGTCCATACTTTATTGGAAGAGATCGCGAAGGCAGGATTTTCGATGCAAGAATGTGCTGGCGCGACGGCTTTCGAAGTCTCGCCCGACGCAAGCAAATTCGATGAACAGCTCAGGTTTCAACAGAAATTGCATGAGATGTCCGACGACATGTTGCCTGCCATGGAGCGTCACAACCTCAGATACTTGACGGTGTGTTGTTCCCACACAAATGCTACGTTTCGTTGTGTGCTGGGCAACTGCGCTACTACAATCGAGGACCTCGCGAACGAGGACGGGAAACTGACGATGGAGAAACTTATCAGCTACTGCCCAACATACGGGCCGCCATTGAGAGATGGAATTCCGTGGGTTATCATCCGCCACCAGGTGGAAGCGGAGTGCCCCGACCTACCGAGCTTCCTTCAAGAAGCAGGCAACCAGTCGCACAACGCACGCCAAGTTCAAACACAGATGCAAACATTGTTGCGCATCCATCGCATTGCCACAAAGAATTACAAGATGCACGCCGACCCGAAGTGGGAGTTGCTCTGCAAGGACTTGGTGAAATCGAACTCCGAGCTCAAGGGCGACGTCGAAGGCATGAGTCTCTACGTCAAGGAGTGGTCTGGAGGAGAGAATGCATCATACTTGAAAGAGCTTCAAGAATTTGCATGTTCGTTGAAGTTCCGACGTCACATTCCAGGGTCCCTCTGGAAAGCACTCGGCAGCGTCCAACTCGCTCAAGGTGTTGATTACATTACCGCTACAATCAAGGCTAGCATGACAGCGCCCGAGGCGCACTGCAGGGGCAACGAGAGCAAACTTCTTTCGTCTACTGATGTTCTCTCAATTCAGAATAAGCTCAAGCCGCAATGCATCACAGCAGCTACCATGATGAAGGCA